GTTAATATATGTATGCAGCTATGCTAATTCTCGACACCGTTCTCTTTTTCTTTTTTGGGTTCTGAAACAGGTTTGAGTTATGGGGCTTCTACGACAAGCAATTTGGCAAAATTAGTGATATGGAACCATCCAACTACGGACTATTCACTGCAAGTCACTTGAAAAAAAGCAAAAAATTAGAAGAAAAGCAGCTGTAGATAGTTAGCAATGCAAGAGGATGACGTGCCTTTTCTTTTGCAAATGCGACAAGGACAAAATCATAGATGCTTATGTGATTGTAGATTTGTGGTTTATTTATTGGGGCAACAGAGTCCTTGCTAGATTGACTCATGATAACAAATTCCTGAGTTTCTGAAACTAGTAGTAAATTTTCAGATGGAAACGAGTTCCTAGCTGCATCTAAAGTTTTGCTGCCAGCTTTACATTCTTGCAGAAGAAAATGAAAGAAAAAGCTTTAAAAAACAAAACTAAAGTGATGAGAACCTTTGGGTGACAAACGTATTAGGGCAAATTATTTTGACTGACCGTACGTCACGGTTTTTCCATGAATCCATAAGATATTTCAAGTCGTGCGGTTGTAAACGAGAACATATTTTTGCATAGATTACCAAATGCCCACAAGTTTGATGGGAAAATTACCATTTACAAAGAACAACGAGCACAGAACATAGTTTCATCGGTCCTTTCATAAATGTTGTAATTTCAGCTGTACTCTCTCCATTTTTCTTCCTTTTTTTTGTTTTCCTCAACTGGGGTCTAAACTGTACTCTTGGTTATGAGGGAATTTATACATCAAGGGGCGTCAAATTACTATCCCCCAGAACTACTTCCCCTTACTTTGGTACAGTATTGATCCAATCAAAACTGCAACTCCAGTTATTGCAACCGTCAAGAGCAGTTGTTTGTGAAGTGAACCAGTAGCAGGTCGCGCTGGCTTTGGTACTGGCTGCTCTGCTGCTGCTGCTGGAGTCTTGTCACTGAAATTTATATCACAAGGTAAGCTTGATTTTCTCAGAATATGCTATTTATCATTGCTAGTTGCTACAGCAATAGTAAAAGCTTGCCGTCAGACTAATCAGCTTGATTTTCTCACAATGCCATTTATTAGTTGCTACTTGCTACGGCAACAGACTAAACGTAATCGATGTCTATGCAAATGATACTTCAATGAAGGAATCACTAAGCTAGCATAAGACATAGTTTATTTATTTATTTGCTGAATGCTGAAAACTATATTGAAAGGTTAAATGCTAGTCCTCCGTTCCAAGATGTAAGGTGCAACTTCAAATAAGTTACATTAAAATCCACCACCGAAATACGTCTTGATAGTGCATTTATTTGTTATTGCAGTAAAACATTTTTCTATAAACTTGGCTAAAGTTAGAGAGTTCTGACTTGGCACAAAACCAAAACACCTTATATTTTGGAACAGTGGGAGTGCCAAGTTACTAATAACACCGATGTAGCTGAATGTTGTCTTGAAAATTGAAGGTATGGAACTGGAGTTACTAATCAGTTGGAAGGTTACCTTGAAAGTTCTGATGCAGCATCTAAAATCGTATGGAACTGGAGTTCATGTCCAATCCATTCACGGAGTCTGATATACTTCCTGCAACTTTGACAATATTCTGTTCGATTTCCACACACATCCTGTAGCACACCCACCCTAATTAGAGCACTGAGAACTGTATCCAAAACTAGTTTCTTGAATAATAGGTTACCATGTGAGATATATCCATACCTGATGTTCATAAAGATCGACTGCAGGCAGTTCAAACTGACAGTATTGGCATGCGAGCATCCTTTGTGGGCATTGTATGCCTGTATGAAGATCCCATAGCTCACGTTCTACTTTGTGTTTGCAAAGTGAGCAATTCATCTGTATCTGTAATAAGATTAGTGGTGAAGATGAATTAGTAAATTAAGAGGTGGTAGAAAAGGGAAGAAAAAAACAGGAAGGCGTACATCTATTGCCATCTCTCTAATTTATCAACAATTTACATTAACTTAAGTGGCTAACGAAGACGCTTTCATTTGTTTACATTACCTTAGTGGTTACAAGAAATTATGTTGCCTACCATAAGCATATAAAGAAACAGTCATAACTGTTTAATGCAATTGTACCTTTTGGTGTCATAATGATTGTAAATATGCGTTCATGTAATGTTACAGCTTCTTTAGAGTAAGATAAGAACTCAGGAAAAGAAAAGGCTGAACAGTAATGCATGCTTCTGTACTTCTTAATGTAACGCTTAACTTCAGCAATATTATAATTATGAATTGACTGTGAAAACGATTCGGGGACTCCAAACAATGAATCTGAGAGAAGCTTGGAGTTTGGAAAGATACCGGAGCATGGTTTTCATCGTAGTGTTCATCCATAAGCTTCCTCGGAACCATATCTCCGCAATGTTCACACTTCTGAAGGTTCCGAGCGCAGTGCGCGCTGTGCAATGCAATGTTTGAAGATGGAATCTCCCGCCGACTATATAGAATAAACAGAGAAATATCGTCCGTAATCAACATACTTAACCCCAGCTGACTAAATAAAGAGCATGGGGAGAATCACAGTTAATAATGTATGATACAGCTCACTAAAAACCATACCCCAGACATTGTGGTAATCATACAAGTACCTGATACGATACTGGTAAAACTGATTATATGTGTACGCGTGTTCGACGATTTGCAGAAGGTAATCCACAGAGCAACGGTATCACGTGGCATGTCATGTGTAATTAATCATCACAAAATAAGCCTGAACTATATACCCTATTACGCAGCGACGCATGCGAACAAATCAGTATCGTAAATATGCAGCGGTTGACGACCCCAATCCTATCCTGTCGGCATGGCGGAGGTGGACGAAGGAATCGACTTCTGGTGGGTAGGCGGAACGCTGGGAAGGCGAGGGAGGCCAGTGAGAGAGAGATTCCCAGCGTAGGGAGGCCAGAGAGAGAGAGAGAGAGAGAGAGAGAGAGAGAGAGAGAGCGTTACCAGTGCGGGCAGGTGGAGGTGGAGATGGCGAAGTCGGAGTCCGCGGCCGCCATGGTTCGATAGGGAGCGATGGTCGGAGTCTCCTCCGCCGAGATCCACGTCTCGCCCGCGCCGAGTCGGGGAATCGGGGCGGCGATGGTGCGGAGGAGAGGACAACAGGACGGAAACGGAACAGGCTTCCAGAGCCGAGGAGAGAGAGACTCGCTCCGTCCGGTTGAGTTTGGATCGGAGACGGCGGCTTGTATTGGGGAAGCCGGACGAGCACGAGGCTCTTCGGGCCCACCTGTCGGTAGTAAATGCTCGGTGTGGGCTCGAGGTGATGCCAGATGGGCTTGCTCTGTTGGAGCCTGACGGGTTATTTTGTTGGGCTTAATGGGCTGCAGAGTAGATGATTGGGCCGGCATGCCATGCTTTGGTGGGCTATTGGCCCGCTCGTTCTCTACTCCTCTTTTTCATTCAATTCAGGGGAACATTTGCTCAAAAAAAAAAATCAATTCAAGGGAACAGGAAGCAGAGGGAGGAGGGACAGAGAGCTTGGATCCCGAGGCCGGTATCATCGCACCAATCAGAATTTTTCAGACTGTGAAATCCAGCCAACTTCTCCCACACTGCGCATCAGGCCACCGTTGCACTTTGTAACCTTGGGCTTGGATACGAAGCCACCACACGTGGCAGTGGCAGTGCGCGTGCGCGTGCGCCCGAAGCCATCCCCGGCGTCGACGTCGACGGGCAGCTTCCTTCCTGAGGGTTCGTCAGAAATACAATCAAACGGCACGGCGTGCGTGCGAATCTTCCGTGAGTCTTCCGCCGGACGACGACGGCAAACGCGGGCGCGGGCGCGCGCACGCGAAGCTGACGCGCCGCCCACCGATCCTCCTCCTCCTGGGACTGGGATGGATGGCGAGATTCCACTCACTACTCGACTTTGCCAGTCGTCGCCACCACCGATCATCTCCTCTTCCGGGTCGGGTGCGTGCGTTTCTTTAGCACCTACGCCCTATCGTCCTATCTAGTACGTGCTACGACGACGACGATTTTTAATCTCTTTATTTATATTAAGGTGCGTTGTATCGCTTTTCTAGTGGCCAAATGGTTTTCCAACTTTCGTGTGACTTGCGAGTTAAAGTTTCCCCGTTTGGAACGCGGGGTGGTTAATTCTTCCCCGGTCTTCCAAGGAACGGGACGGGGACGATTCCGGCCTGTGAAATCCTACGATTCGCCAAGCTGGAGCCCTGACCAACAGGGCCGGAACTGTTGCGTGCCTGACTGACTGTCGTTGTTGTCAGCAACAAGCTGTGTTACGGTTGTGGCCTGCGCGCGCGATCGATAGGTGCGGTTGATGCATCGCCGACTCGCCGTGGTACTGTGCGTGCCGTTAGGGTCCGTCCAGGCCAGGGCAGGCCTGATGTGTGACGCTTTACGGGCCACTAATAGCAGGCTTTATTGACGCTTAACGAAAGCTGATTAGTCTGTTTCAACAAACTCTTCCAGCCTGGCGGGTGGCGGCAAGCTCCGCCCCGCCGCCCCGGAGAACCAACAAACGAACCAACACGGAACAAGGCCGTGACGACTGGCGTGAAGAAGAAGCGGTTCCGACTTCCGAGCCTTCCTTCGTCCTGCAACAGCAATGCAAGCACCAACTTGCCTGATGGGCGGCTCATGTCTCTGATGCATTCAGAGTTCAGTCCAGATATAATAAACACAGCAAAACTGTGACTCTTTTCTTGGCGCCTGCATTATGTATGCTTAATGTAACTGATTCTCTTTTATTGAGTGTATGTATGTATGCACAGCAAGCTCGGATTTTTTTTTTAACCATCGATGGATCACAAGTACAGGACGACACAAAAACTAATGCAAAGAATTGTCAGGTCAAGTCAGTATAACCAAAGAAAAAGAAATGGTGGGAATGAAAACTATAGCAGAGCAGAGGAGATGTTCATTGAGCTGGCGGTTGTTGGTTAATCGAGACCGGTCAAACCCGCCCGACGCACATCACATCATCACTCGGGCGCTCTCGGCCGCCGCCGCCCGCCGCCGGCGGCCAGCAGGTACCGGTGCGCTCCGACGAGCTCCTCCCGGAAGCGCGCCAGGTCCAGCCGCACGTTCTGCCGGTCCAGGTACACCTTCTTGGTCACGTCCCAGCCGGGCTGCGCCACGCCGGCGGGGTCCGTCAGCACGGGGTCGCCCGTGGGGTACTCGCGGGACAGCGAGCTCTCCTCGGGGGCGATCTTGTACCCGACGTATCGCAGGCCCATCCGCTCGGCGGGCTCGCCGTAGTAGGCGCCGGCGGCCCAGTCCGTGCCCAGCGGAACCACCTGGATGAACACCTTCCCGGGGCGCATGAACAGGAAGTGCGTCATGGCGGCGCCGTGCACCCCGACCATGGCGTCGCTGGCGTTCAGCTCCCGGTATATCTTGCACAGCTCCGTGGTGCGGTCGGGCCGGATCACGCGCACGTCGAACCCGACGTCCGCCGCCAGCGCCGCCACGTCCGCCTCGTTCTCGATCACGCGGGACCCCGTCCGCGACACGATCACCAGCCTGGGGCGGCGGTCGTCGTCTGCGTGACTCGGACCTGGCGGCGCGCGGGGGACCACGGCGCCGCGGCGGTGGCGGTGGCGGTGCAGGCGCAGGCGCTTCCGAGCCGCGCGGCGCTCCAGGCGCTCCAGGAACTCGATGCGGCCGCGGTAGGCGTCATCCAGGAGCCTGCGGAAGTCGCCGATGCTCTTCCCCTCGGGCGTCCTCGCCGGGTCCACGGTTAGCTCGCCGTGGATGCGCAGCCCGGCGATCACCTCGGGGAAGCAGTGCACGCGGCGGTCGGCGGTGAAGTCGATCGGCGGGAACGCCGACATCTGGGACACCACGTCGCCGTACTTGGTCATCCACCAGTCGTGGTACTCGAGGATCACCAGCACCACGCGCCGCCGGAGGTGGTGCGCCGTCACGAACAGCGGCAGGATGCCGTCGTTGAACTCGTGGTACACGTTGCCCGTGTACCCGCCGGTGGAGAAGAGCACGGCCGGCACGTCGTGCCGCACGTCGCACCGCGCGGCGTCACCGGGCACCACGCGCCGCAGCCGCACCTCGTCGATCGTCGCCATCACGTTCGCCTCCCACTTGCGCGTGTACGGCCGTATCCGCTCCTCCTCCGCCGTCGAGTTGCCGGCGGACACGAGCTGGAACGACGCGCTCGCCGAGTGCATGCGCAGGTCGCCCCGCGCGAAGCAGATGTCCGCGCGCTCCGACGTGCGGTCGCAGCAGAGGCTGTCGTTCCCCACGGACGAGCACGGCCCGGACACCCCGCCACGCGCGGCCGCGGCCGTCGCCACCGCCCCTGTCCCCGCCGCCGCCGCTGCGCCGCCTTCGTCGCTATGCATGAAGGAGAGGAAGGACACGGGCGCCACGAACAGCGTCCCCACGCAGAGGAAGGAGAGCAGGAGCATGGCCAAGAAGCGCCGCAGGCCGAGCGCCCTGGGTTGCACCTGCTTGCCGCTCTTGCCCCCACCGCTGCCGTAGTCCTGGTAGTGGTACATGACCCGCCGCCCGGCGCCCTTGGGCTGCGACACCTTGCATGCCACCTCCTGCTCCGGCTCGCCCTTCCTGAACTGCAAGACGTAGATTCTGTGCTGCTGCTGCTGCACCATGGCCGTCGCCAGAGAGAGAGGGTCTCTCGGATGACTATGAGAAGAGGAATGGGGAGAGAGAGAGAGAGGGGGGGTATAAATGGCTCAGCTTAGCAGAAGAGTATCTAAAACTATTGGCGGTTAGAGGTTGGGCCGCTATGTTGTGACGGCAAACACAGCCAACAGTGATGGAACAAACATCTTTGAGGAGCATTCGGTGGGTCCTCTGATTGCCACCTAATAAAAATTTAAAATGCACAATATCTGCACAACAGCAAAAACGATTAATTTTCTTACACAACGATAATCAGTCACTCTAGATCAATGAATCAAGCCCAATCCTCTTATTTCACATCATAGAAATTAAGCCAAGTCTTAATTGCTTGCGCAGTCGTATCTGATTGCAATATATCGTCACACTCACTTCTTGAGAAGACATGTACAAATAATAATTATGACATGTAGAATTTATTATAAAAATACTTGTGTATATAGTTTTTTTTTCAAAGAATCGGACAGGAAAGTTACCAAATATATTGGAAAAATAAAGAACCCAGGTCAGGTAATGTAATAGAGCAACGAAACCCTCAAGGATCGAGCAATGGTAACAACCAAAAACGACAGTAGAGCGCTAACAGTTAAAGGTAAAAGGCAACAAACGACACCTGTCGGTTAGATTGAGACATCACCACGCGCCGCACAACACCGCCGCACCGCCAATATATAGCCTTATCTATCCCGAACGAACCGCACCGCCAATATATAGCCTTATCTACCCCGAACGAATACAATCAATAAATCATGATGTATATATTGGATTTGTTGCACATAGTATCCTCGCTTTTTAAAATACATATATCTAGGGAACTATCACTTGTATATCACGTCGGTAACGCATGCTTGTACTTGTGACTTTATGGATGCCTTTTGATACATTGCTCGGTCATTGACAACTCATGTATATCGGTCATTGAGAAAAGAGTGTAACGAAACCGGTCTATCTTTAAGATATATAGCAAAAGACATTTAACCTAAATTAATAAATCATTAGCGACACTCATGTTTCGCATAGTAGAAGGGATTGAAGATTTGTTATGTGGCCATATATGTTAGCATACACCATTACTAAAACAAACATATCAATTAAGAAATACAACGTGTAGCGAAATACTATATTGATACTCTCTTGCTTGTATCACCACTTGTTAAGGCAAACAATGGTAAGATATGGTGCCGATGGCATTTGTTATGATAGACAGTATTCATGTTTATCTTGTGTCATACTACAAATATTGTAGAAGATATGATGTTAGCATATCCCTTACACAAGGAAAAATGTACAATTAACACCATATATTTTGTGGCAATTATTATTATAACATACCAGTAGGTATAGCCTCTCTCCGAAGCAAGTGCAATTAAGAAATCATGACTTGTGGGGTTTTTTATACATATTATCATCACTTTTTAAAACAAACACACAACTAAGAAATTATATATGGCTTGTATATTTTATCGTAACATATACTTGTACTTATGACTTTATGGATGTCTTTTGATACACTAATCGATCATGGACAACTCACGTGTATATCAAAATAGTAGCGTGGGGATTACTAAAAATTGGGTTTAGACAAATTGTTCTATCCCTTGGATATATAAGAAAAGACATTTAGGTTAAATCAAGATCTACATGGCTACACCCATATTTCACATAGTAATAAGAACTAAAGATAGTGCATTACACAACCATATTTCTTATGCATGCACCATTGCTAAAACAAGCATATTATATGACATGCAGAAATTTATCATAACACGCCTAAGTATATCATCATATCTTAAGGCAAACAATGGTAAGATATTGTGTTGTGTGACATTTGTTATGATGGATGACACCTGATTTTTTTTTATCTTGTGTCATAGTGTTTAGTCATACACAAGGCATGTATACAACAACTAGGGAAGATGATGACTAAAAGACATTTTTTGTTATAATAACATACTGGCTTATGCCACCGCTTCTTATAAAAGTTAAAACCACACATAAAAATCACATTAGGTTGGTTGGGCCCATAAAACTCAAATATTGTTGACAAATTGGCATATGTGAAACTTGAGTTAATAGATCAAGTATCATCTTTCTAATTAAGCTGGCATAACAATAACCACTCTCAAATAAACTATATATCCAATATCATGGAATAAATCTAAGCCATGCTCTCCTAGTTTCCATCTAGGATAAAACTCAAATCAGATTAACATAAGGACACACACACACACACACACATAGGCTGTGTTTAGTTCGTGAAATTTGGAAATTTGGCTACTGTAGCACTTTTGTTTTTATTTGGCAATTATTGTTCAATTATAAACTAATTAGGCTCAAAACGTTCGTCTCGCGATTTCCAACCAAACTGTGCAATTAGTTTTTTCGTCTATATTTAATGCTCCATGCACATATTGCAAGATTCGATGTGATGGCTACTGTAGCACTTTTTAGGAAAGTTTTTAGAAACTAAACACATACATATATATATATATATATACCCTTTTAACACGACTTGATCGTTAAGGAGAACAGAGGCAAGAAAGTATGATGTCAATAGCTAGCCGTACAATGCTAACATACATTGTCGCTTCTTAAAAACAAACACAGGGGAACTTGATTCTCACTTTACCTGTGTGTTGATGAGTCAGACTGCTCGGTCATAGACAACTCACATGCATAAGCCAAGACAATGAGGGCAGCAATGGCGGCTGAAAAGTTAGTGCAGTGAGATCATTCTACCAGCCGTCTGTACCTTGCATGGCACACTTACTTAGTTGTGCTATGTTGTACTCCTATGGATTTTACTTTGCTTGCTTGGAAGTACTGAGGGTGAGTGTTGGTTTGAGTTGGCATCTGCATGCCAGGTTGGAGGCTATGCCCAGAAAACGACACTATTCAGCTTGTTTTTTTTAGCAGAAACAATGTTTTTCTCTCACAAGAATTCAGCCAGAACAATATTTTCAGTCAGTTTTAGTCACAATTCAGCAAGCCGAACGGGCCTAGGTGGTTTCAACATTGGGGTTGGGTTTGGGTTGGGTCCATTTGGAATTAATTTTTGAGAGGTCACCAAGCCATCTAATTTCAGGGGCGTTTAGTTCCCACCAAAATCCAAACTTTGGCACTATGCAAAAAGAAGATTCCCCGTCATATCAAACTTGCGGTACATGCATGGAGTACTAAATGTTGACGAAATCAAAAACTAATTGCACAGTTTGGTCGTACTTTACGAGACGAACGTTTTGAGCCTAATCAGTCAACGATTGGACAATAATTCACAAATACAAATAAAACGCTACAATATGCTACAGTGCTGGCACCGTGATTTTGGTTGTCCAAAATCGGGCAACTAAACAAGGGCTCAGTTTGATTTGACCAAGCAACACGCCAATTGCATATGTGTTCTCAGAAGCAACAGCTAGCCATGCATCATGACGAGAGAATACCTCGTGCCCATTCAAAAACAGCAGAAATTAACACTGGAATACACAGGCAGTACATTCGGTGCATATATATATGATTCCATATCATGCATGGTGTAGGCTACACGAGTAATTAAGAAGGCTGCTCAGGAGTAACATCGCATTAGCATCACTAAACAGACACGGTACTTGCACTTCAAGATGCTTTAATGATGGGCTTAGCTTACAAGTATATTTTGCATTGGTGTACTGACATATAGCAGTCAGTTTTTAACTCGCATGAGAAAGTTCAACTGGATCTTAAACACCTACCTCTGTGTAGTACAAGCAAGTACACTATTCTAAAGGATCATCTGCACCAACTTACATAATGGTAGATACAGTGTTACACCGATAACAGAGTCGGTACGATGTTATACAGACTATTGACAGCATGCATGTCTAATTTGCAATCCACCCTCGAGCAAATTTCAAAAACTCACGGATATTTTGACATGTGTGGGCCACCTTTGTCACGTAGTCACAAAGTTAAAGTCCTTTTTTTATTGATGACGTGTCAAAATAGCTGTAGGTTTTTGAAATGGGATCCAGAAGCTGTAGTCATTTTTGATACAGCTCTTTTTTCTTTTCTACACTACTCATTCCATCCTAAAAAAGGGTTTAATTTCATATTTAGAACAAGTCAAACTTTCTTAAGTCTTACTAACTTTATAGAAAGTATTATCTACATTTATGTTGTCTCCAAATAAATTTGATATGAAAATATATTCCATAATTAACCTAGTAATACTTATTGGATATTATAGATGTTAGTATTTTTGTACAGATTTATTTTGGCCAATTTAAAATTGTTTTATTCCTGAAAAAACGAAAATTGCATTGTTTTCGAATGAAAGGAGTACTTGCTAAATCATTTTGTGCAAAAGTAAACTCTGTCCTAAAGGTGCGAAATTAAAAAGGTGTGATCATGGGGCTTGGAAATGGAGGAGCTAGCTGAACAATGAGGACAAGCAACCGAACGATCTTTTGTCTAACATACACGGCGATCAAGCATGTATTTGACCTGTTAGGTGTCCTCTAATGATGCGAGCCTTTGGAGAAAGAAAGAAAGCAAGCAACCAAAGTACGCTTTCCGTGAGCTAACTTTCTGATGCAGGCTCACAAATATTATTGTAGCAATCCTATGATGCTGACAAATGCAGTAGCACTCCGTGCCACTTTTCGTTAGATCCTATCACCTGCTACTGCTAGCCAGGCTTAGCTTGCATTGCTGGCCTGACGAGATCGAATCATATATCATATCATACTTCATACCCCACCAAAGACAGGCAGAGGATAATCACAACGTTAAGCCCTGTTTAGTTCCACCCCAACTTCCAAAAATTTGCTACAGTACCTGCCACATCGAATGTTTGCGGCCCGTGCATGGAGCATTAAATGTAGACGAAAAGAAAAACTAATTGCACAGTTTGGTGGGAAATTGCGAGACGAACGTTTTAAGCCTAATTAGTCCATGTTTGAACACTATTTGCCAAATAAAAACGAACGTG